AAGCAACATGAAGATACCCTCCTGTCCCCCAACAATGCCTACTAGGACAGTGCTGACACCAAATGCTTTGTAGTGACAATGGGAATCATTCATAGAAAGTAGACATTGTTGCTGCAGTACCAACCTGTGGAAGGACCAGACTGAAAGATTCTAGAGCATTGCAGGGGCATGAGTTTGACCCTGCGGTTAACACGCTGCCTAGGATGCCTGGGCTTGGTGTCTGACTCTGGCTCCTGGTAACACAGGCCTTGGGAAACAGCAGTCACTCAGTGGGAGACCTGGACTGTGTGTGTGGATCCCAGTTCTGGTTCAGCTCTTGTGGGCATTTGGGGAGTAAACCAGCAGATGAAAGATCTTGTTCTGCCTCATATACATGCTTAAAATAAATGAAAAGGATGACCTAAATCTCTGTGGGATAACTTTTGGGATCTATATGGAGAGAATATGGCTTTTACACTGTCTGAAACCAAAGCCTATAGCAAGGGATGTGCAGTGCCTCACACCTGGTTGCATTTAATGCACATTTGTGCAAATAGATATATCTCAAAAGATAAGTGGCAAGATTAACTAGCAAAGTCATGAACTACTAACTTCATGCCAACCAGTGTATTCTTTAGTTTCCATTTATTTATGAGAAAAAATGTATTTAGAATTTGGGGGTTGGAAGGTGAGTCTACAAGTTGTCCATTCCTGGATGCTTCCCTTTCCTTAACCAAAAATAGCACCTATTGATGATAGGTGCAGACGATTATGTAATGAGGATGTGAGGGCCTTAATTCTAAAGACTCCTAACTCATGCCAGAAATCCAAGCTTAGCTAGCATTGTTTCCTAATTTTCCTAACATTGTTTCCTAATTTCCTTTCATTTTAACTAACCCAAGAAACGATATATGTGTCAGCTTTAGGAGGATAACTGAAGTTTATGGAAAGTGCAGATAAATGTATTTTGGTGCAGAACAGTTTTAAAACCCATGCATATAAGGGGTCTGTGAAAAAGTTCATGGAAAATGTCCACTATAACATGCATGTGGCCCAACACGATGGCCCAATGGCTAAATCCTTGCCTTGCCAGCCCTGGGTTCCCATATGGTCATGGTTTGTGTCCCAGTTGCTCCACTTCCCATCCAGGTCCCTGCTTGTGGCCTGGGAAATAAGTAGAGGACTCTGGACCTGCTTGGGAGACCTGGAAGGCTCTGGCTGTTGTGGCCATTTGGAGAGTGAACCAGCAGATGGAAGATCTTTCTGTCTCCCTTTCTATAAATTTGCCTTTACAAAAAAAAAAAAATAATCTTACAAAACAAAACTATGCATGAATTTGAAACATTTTCTGGCAACAAAATGTTTTTCTTTAAAAAAATCCAAAGCTTACTTATCTTTATTTCTTTGAAAGAATAGAGGCAGGGTGAGCATGAGAGAGAGCATGTGGTCTTCCATCTCTGGGTTAATTCTTCAAATGCCTGCAATAGCCAGGCCTGGGGAAGGCTGCTGCTATAAGCCAGAACCTCATCTGGATCTTCCTCGTGGGCCAACACTTGCTGCCTACCAAGGTGTGCATTTGCAGGAAGAGGGAACAAAAGCAGAAGTGGAGGTAGGACTTGAACCCAAGGACTCCAATATAGGATGTAGGTGTCCCGAGTGGCATCTTAAATCTTTTGTGATCCAATCCTCACCACTCAATATTCCTTTGACTCCATTTACACTAGCTTCTGCAATGCCCTTGCATAAGCTTTAAACACATGTAGACTAGGGAAGTGGGCTAACCACCCAGAAGGCTCAAAGGAAATTCACCACATTCCAGGGTAGTCTGAATTTCCAACACGAGCCCAGATCACTAACAAACATTAAGGCATACTTAATAGCATTGGGCATTATGGCCAAAATAAGTGTCTGGAGGGAAAGGGTATATTGAATGGTGGCACAAAGAGCCATGCATACGAGTGTCCCTCTCCCTGGGCCTCATTCCCTCTGCCTTTCTTGGTGAACATTTTTCAAAACTTTATCTTAGCCTTACTGGCCTGGGAATCTGATTGTATCAGTTTTTGAATTAGAGTCATCTCATGGCTCACATTACTAACACAAGACAGATGTATAATACCAGAAGGCTGCAAGCAGTGTAAATGCCTCCTAGGCCAGTGGACTCTTACTGATACCACCAGTATATGCTCTTCCTATTGGCAGACCTCCAAGAAGAACTCAACCAAAATTAGTGGTGAATGTGGAGCCAAGGCAAGGGGCAGGAGATGAATCAAGCATCTAATAGAATCAAACTGCTATATCCTCATGCATCAATTTCCTCAGTCAGGACAATCTTGCCAATTAAGCCATACACTGTTGGCTCTAGGGCCCTACATCCTTCCCCATGATGGCAGTGTCCTTACCAGCGTGATGGCAATACTCCCAGCTTTTGGCTCAGGCTTATTCTCTGGGCAGTGTTGGAATGCACACTTCCAATGTTGGCCTTTCTGATTCAATTTCTGCATTTGAAGGTACTTTCAAGGATTTTGTGGGGAAAAAGATCATTTTATGTTTTGCAAAAAATAACGCTTCCCCTAGTTTCTATGAATATGTATTTTCCATGAACTTTTTATACTTCTGTGGTGACCAGTCTTTCAGTGTTTCTCTTCAACCAATCAGAGGTCTTATGGTTCTGAGAGCAGTGCCATTGCTTAGGAGCACCTGACCACCCTGTGCAGCCTATTGGGCTCATTTTCAAGTGTAACCCAGAGAGGAAGTATCCTTTGAAGTTCTTGGGGGTGATTCACTGTGCCACTTACACAGGTGAGAACTCTGTGCATGCATACAATTACTATATCCATGGTTGCCTATGTCCCCGTGTAGTCACTTTTGTAGAAGCTAACACTGAGTGATACAGCCATGGCACACGAACCACAGAACAATATAGCTTTGAACTAAAGGCACAAAATTTAACTTAGATGGTGAATACCCTACTCATTGCCAGCTCCTGAAAAAACAGGTAACTTATCACCAGAGTGGTAAAAGTGTAAACTGAGAGAGACAACCATCTCCCCAGGGTTAACAACTTCTTGGCATGGGCACATGCATTCTAAACAATGGAGACATTTATATGTGAAACATGTAAATGAAACCAGCAGCCTGACTTAGAAATATCTGGAAAGCTCCTTTAGAAAATGTCTATCTGATTTGGTCACCCTGTAAATGCAGTGGAAGGCAGGAGTTCCTATCCCTTGAGACTATCAGTAATGCACACCACAGAAAAGCCCTCTATACAGTTGCTGAGGGAAGTGCTGGCTGTGGGTCAAAGGGGACTGCAGTTGCCCCCCGTTTAGCTTGGTCTCCAATAGACCCACTGTCATCTCACGCTACTGGGATGCATTCATTACTGATGGACAACTGCTTGTATGAAGTGGTTTTAGTTAACGGAGGGTGGAATTACATTTTCCCACAAGAGTTTTTTTTCTTCCCCCTCCAATGCTTCTACAGCATAAAAACCTTTTAAAACACCATTTGGTCTGGGGAAACCAAGCTGACCTTCCTCCAGGTAATAACTAATAGAAATCTAGAAAAACTCTACGGCTCATGAGAATAAACAGCAGAGCCAAGCAATCACACCAGCAGACAACAATCGTGGTCTTGTTTTTCAGAGCAGCTCAAGCCCATAGCCCCGGCTGCCCAGCATTTTCTGATGGCAGCAGCACTGGAAGGCACAGCTCTCCATTCTGCGCAGCTGGCAAACATCTTCTACAGCTCTCACATCCATGAACTTGTGCACAAACTTTAGGTATCACAGAAATGCGAGTGTATTTTCTCACCAGAAAAAAATTTTTTTCTTCTACTGGGCCACTCCAAAAATCCAAAGGTTCCCTTTCCTAACAAAATGTATCTATATTCACTGATTTAAACTCTAACCCAAAGGTTTAAAAACAAAAGTGAAAGAAAACACTAGCTCTGATTGCCACCCTTGTCCGTGAGCTCCTAGAGAATTTACACTAGCAGGATGCCATCTGTCACTAAGCATGTGGACCAGGCCCCTCTGCAGCCTTTCTTTCACAAAATCTGAGCCTTCACCTGGTCTTAGAAGTCCTTCTTTGCAGGGAAAAAAACAACCAACCACCAAACTCAAAATATACAGGTCGTTTCCCTTTCATGCCCTCCATCCCTGACTGCAGACAGACTGCTAGCTCTTCTGTATATCTCGTTATTTCCCTCACCCTGATTTGCCTTGAAAACCATAGTGATGCCCCGAACTTCCAACCCAGCCCTGCTTTTCTGAAAGCCAACCTGTACAACAAAAACAGTGTGCAGAGTGCCAGGCCAGGGGCATGGTGCTAGGGACATGGCTGGACCAATGCAGAAAAGTCCTTTCCTGAGAGAAGGTACATTTTGCTACTTAACAATTCAGAAGATCTGTTTTGGTTTCTTCACTTAAAAATTTTCCAATTTCTCTCACAGTCACTAGAAACATGTTCATGAAACAATGCAGAAATTTATATAAAAGCTGACTATTTTGTAATTTTAAAAACCTACCAGTGTAATTATAGAAAGGTATAGAAAGACTGCTGAGAAATTATTAGAACTGAATTAAATATTGAAATGACAAATGACTGATTTCTATTTCATAACATCTAAGAGGCAGATGATAGAAATCCTTTCTTCTGGAGTTATCACTTTCATTTCCACCATCATGTGTCTTTTCCTAATCTATGCAGATTAAAGTGCTTTGGAAATAGTCTCACTGCCTAACCACACTCCTTGCAGCATCAGCTGAGGTTCCTTAATATAAAAAGTGACAGTTCTCACTGCTCATCACTTACTGACAATGCTATTGTTACAAGTAACGGAAGTGTGCCCAACTGCCCTTCCAGGAGGATGGGATGCAGGGGGGATGCAGGCATGGCTCAGACACCAGGTGTCATTTGTTTTGTGGTGTTGCTGACATTCAAACACAGATCTTGAAGTGAAAAGGAAATACAAGCACAGCCACTGCTCCCAGCAGCCTCACCAAAAGAGAACTGCTTTACCTGGCTGGTAGAAGTCAGGCGACAGCTCCCTGGCCACAGCTCTCGCGATGTCGCACTCCTGGCGGGCGGCCAGCGCAGCCTGGTCAGCGGCGTCAGCTTTCGCTCTTGCGTGTGCAGTCCTATACGGGGCACAAAAGAGCCAGTCAGCAAAGGTGGCACCTTATTAATTACACGGGGAAAAGCAAATCTCAATCCACAGAAAGCAACGTTAATCATGATCATGGTCTGTGACACCTGCGACGGTGAGTCTCAGGATCATGTTGCTGTGGGATTCCAATGTCACAGAAAAGAAACTACCTGTGCCTAGCTTCGGTCCTTCCGGGCGGGTGGGGAGGGATGAGAAATATAAGCAAATTCTAAGCACACTCACGTTAAGTCTAGTTTTCAACAGCAACAGAGGCAAATCCCCTGTTCACTCTGATTTCCATTGCCCCTTTAAACTCTCACAGTCGGATGTGAATTAACGTCATGTTTGTGGATTTCATTCTTATGGGAGAATTAACATTAGAATGTGATTTACGAAAGGACTGCCTGGGAGTAGGGCAGATACAGTAGGTCTTTGGGGAAAACATTTGACCAAATCCATTGCTAAGTAATATCTGCTGATTCTCATAAATTGCCATGGCCAATTCTGGGCTCCCAGTGTGATGCCACTGGATGTGCAGGGAGCACTCCTCGTTTCCAGCAGCCTAGGCATGGCCCATGAGCTCTTCTCTAAGAGCAAGGGTGGTAGAGGAATGCATCTACTGACTTGCAAGTAGGCTTCTTGTATGAAACCAAACAGAGATGGTGAGGCAGAACTGCTGAGAACAAATCAATCTCTCAGTCTTCCATCATCTCCATGGCCCAAACCCAATTACCAAAACAGAGGACTCAGGCCATGGATGAGGCAGCAGGAAAAAGAGGCTTCCAATGGTAAGACATGAATGGTGCTTTACAGCCCAGGAAGAGGGGGTTTGGGAGGTCAGAAAACTCTGCGTGGTTCACTGTCAAAGAGGAAAACCCTTGTCCAGTTAGCTTCTAGTTGATGGTCATGGGCACCGATTTCTTTTTTTACAACATCTCCCAACCCCTCTCTTTGGCTGCAACAGCCAGGTCTGGGCCATGCTAAAGGCAGGGCCAGGACCTTCATTTTTACCTTCTACATAGCTGGCAGGAACCCAAGCACTTGAGGCATCACCCACTACCCCTCATGTGCATTAGCAGGAAGGTAGGTCAGAGTAACCAGGACTAGAATTGGCACTCTGAAATGGCATCTTCCTGTCTCGTTACATGTGTCAGGGGCAAAATCTCTCTGTAACTCTGCCTTTTAAGTAAATAAAAAGAAATTTTAAAAAAAGAAAACTAGTGAATGGAAATAGCTGATGCTGTCATCCCATATGGACACTAGTCTGTATCCGAACTGTACCATTCCACCGCTGCTAACGTGCTTGGGTGGATGGCATACTAGAAGACCTAGATAAAACTCCTTGCTTCTGCCTGGCCCAGGCCTGGCAGTTGTGGCCATCTGAGGAGTGAGCCAGCAGGTTGGAAGATCTCCTGTTTCTCCCTTTCTAACTCTGCCTTTCAAATAAATAAATGCTAAAACAAAAAGAAAAATCAATGGAAAAGGTTGGTGTGGCATAGCGGGTGAAACCATCACTTGCAATGCTGGTACCCCCTATGGGCACTGGTTTATGTCCTGACAGTTCCACTTCCCCTGCCAATGTGCCTGGAAGGATGATAGTTCAAGAACCTGGTCCCCTGTTACCCACGTGGGAGGCCAGTTTAAAACTCCCAGCTTCTGACTGGCCCACCCTGTGCTTGTGGTCATTTGGAAATTGAACCCACGGACAGAAGATTCTCTTCCACTTTCTCTGTAACTCTTTCAAATTAATACTCTTTTCAAAACATGAATGGAAGTGACAGTAAGTTGATCAATAATTGTAAAAAGGTTCAAGGTGCAAGGGGGAAAGACACGAACAGTTGGAACAGAGCATAATTAAAGTGAAATTGTTTTGTATCACACTATAAAGGGGGCAACACAACACTGTACATTTGTCAAATGTACAAAACAAAGAGTGAATTCTGTTGTCAATTTTAATACTAATGGATCTTGGGATGAGCTTTGTGATGCAGTAGCTAAGCCACCACCTGTGACACTGATGTCCCATGTCAGAGTGCCACTTCACGTCCCAGCTGTTTTGCTTCTGATACAGTTTCCTGCTAATGCATCTGAGAAGGAAGCGGGTGATGGCCCTGGTGCTTGGGCCCCTGCCACCCTTATGGGAGAACTTGGTGAATTTCCGGGCTCCTGGCTTTGTCCAGCCAGGAGTCATGACAGCCAAAGTCATGACAGCTATTTGGAGAGTGAAGCAGCTGATGGAAGATCTCTACATGTGTGTATCTGTGTGCCTTCCTTTGTCCATCATTCTTTCATATAAATAAATAAATGCATAACTTAACAAATACTAATGGATTGACTTGTGCCAAATGCATCCACTGTATGGGTCACTGCATGTGAACACGAGGACATAGATAGTATCTGAGAACTTGTACTTTCTGCTCAACTTTTGGGTAACATACTACTTCTCTGGAAAAAAAAAGTCCATCAGTTAAACATGAGTGAATCAACTTCCAATCATGAAAAATTCCAGATCACAGAGGATTTTATGGATTATTTGTCTTCAGGGCCCAGGAACTGTGACATGGGATGAAAACCAAAAGGGCAGGGATGTATTCCCTGACACCGGCTGTCACGTCAGTCTGCTGCCAGCTTCAGTCCTGGGTTGTGCCTGGGAGTTTACACGGACGCCCTCCGTGAATGTTCTTTCAGTTTCTCAGAATTGTAATTCTTTTTTCCCAGAATGACTTTCCATTTTGTCAGCTATTCTTAGCGAGAACCTAATTATGTCTAGGTATCATAATTAATCTTCCTAAGAATACAGCTATGCTGCCTTATAATTTGCTTGCCCTTTGATGATGAACGTATAAGTCTTGGATACAAAGTGCTTGTTCTAATATACTGAAAACACCACCGTAGAGGTGTGCATGTAAAACGGCAGAGTCACCTCCACCACTTCTTACAACATATTAAACTGGAGAGCAGACAGATCCTGTCTAACCTTCTACAAGTGCATGACAGGAGCATGGCATCAGGGAAGCGTCTCCTACGACTTCTGTGCTAGTTCCTCTTCCTGTGTTTCACTCTAAGCCCAAACAAGAGGGCGACTTTTCCATCCAGCATGGCTCCATGTATCAGCACTGCTGCTCACTGGCCAGGTGAATCATAAGCACATGTCTGCCAGAGAGGTGCCGACAGCACTGGACCTGACCATGGGAAATGCAGCAAACATGGGCTCGCTGAATTTACCAAAGCCACTCACTAGCCTGTGTGGCATGTCTAGCTTTTGCTCAGGAACAGTATGGTTCTGTCCTGGCTCATGTCCCGTGTTCAGTGGGCAAACATTGGAGCAGCAGCCAACACATGACTGGGTTGCCAGTATCCCACATGGGAGCACCTAGGTTTGAGAATGGCTCTAACGCTCTTCCAGCTTCCTGTTAATGTGCAATCTGGGAGGCAGCAGGTGATGGCTCATGAACCTGGGTCCCAATCACCAAGTTGGGAGATCTGGATTGAGTTACAGGCTCCTGGGCCTGCCCTACTCCGGGCAAGGCTATTGTGGCCATATGGAGAGTAAACCAGTGGACAGAGGATTTCTCTCAGGCTTTAAAATAGACAAACACACCCATATATGCCCGCAGCCCTCCCTAATACATCACTGAAAAACAAAACAAAACAAAACAAAACAAAAAAACAAAAACAAGATCCCAGGCTCAGTTCCTAAGCAACACAGAACCCCCTTTCACCCAGCAGCTGGTAGGTCATGTCACTGTTCCCATTCTGGGGGTGGGGTAGGGGTTTGGTGATTCCATCTGGGGAGATCTACTGAAAGCAACTGGGCTGTAACAGTCGGTTGTGCGAAAAATGGGTGTGCAGCAAAGACGCATGGTGCCCAGGAAGCGTTCCTGTGATCCAAAAGACTCTGACACTGACTAGTCTTCAGATCCTTAAGAACCAACCAATACCATGACCACATGCATATTCTGTAGCAAATGCAATAAACAAGGTGAGAAGCAATCTCTTTCAGTGGGTGTAAGCTGATGACTTCATGGACAGATATGGTTTTGCAAATGAATTGGAGCTTTAACTTGTGGAGAGTTAGAATGGGACCACAGGGCTGGCTGGGTGAGACCCAGGTGGGCTGGTTGTGTTCACTGCACCCCTTCCTGGACACCAGCCCTGCTGAGGTCAGCTGTGAACAGCCCTACATGCCTGGCCTCCTTCATGCTGAAGAACTCAGACACAAATAGGTTTCCTTACCAATAACTGAATGAGTAATTGAAGTCCTTCTCCCCCTTCCCCACCCCCCAAAATAAATGAAATAATCTTACAGGAGTTCTCAAGCTACCTTACCTAGAAGAAAATAGGCTAGTTCTTTCATTGTTTTTCTTAAACACAGTAAAGCTTTCGTAAAAAGCATATTCAGCCTCCGCTAATGACGGGCCAGCACACACCTCTCCTGCTCAGGCACTCACAGGTTCAAAACTGGTCACACATGATGGATCTGCCTGAACATTTCATGGCAGAGGCTATGATCTCATTGGCTCAGGGGGCTGTACTTGCAATTTTCTTTGATGTCCAATTATCAAAAAAAATATTAATTTTGGAAAAATAAAAAGCATGACTGTACATGATCCCTTCTCTGCCTCCCCCAAACTCTGCGTCCTGGTATCAGAAATGTCATGCTACAGATGAAGTTCAAGGTGTTCTGGACACCTCGCTTCCCTCACACACATCTACAGTGGGCACATGAAGCTGGCACTACCTTAAGGAAACTTCAAAAAGTTCACTTGAAAATGGAATTAAAAGATAAAGACATTTGGTGCAAAAAAAAAAATTGTTACCTATGCACAGATTTTAAACACTTGTGACTGGAAGTAAGCATATCTAATTCCATTTCTCAATGTATTTTTGTTGTTCATTTGTGTGTTCTCCACCCAATCATTTCTCCTCTTCCTCGTGGCTTCCACTATGGTCATCTCATCATCTCCCCAGGGTTACTGCTAAAGCCAAACC